GATCTGCTTCACTGAAGCCCTGTCTGCTGCTCCTGCTATACAGGTAGCTCTTTGTTCATTAAAAGTGTCACATCTGGATTTAAATTTGTCCTCCTGTTTAATGTTTAACTTCTTGATCCGTTTCCAGCTGGACTGCACTCACGTGTTCCACCTTCAGTGCACTCGGCGTGTTCTTGAAAATCGCTGGCTGGGGCCTCGGATCACATTCGGGTTCATGTTATGTCCCATTTGCAAGGTAAAATGCAACTTGACCCTCTCTGACTTATGGGAAGACAAAGGGACTGAACTATTTTCACCACACCTAAATTTTGATTGACTCAAGTTTGTTTAAGTGCTTTGTTGAAAAAGCGTTTCCCTCCCATACTGCGACTGCTTTTGTTCATTATCGTTTTAGCATGTGAAGTAAACCCAACACTTGCTGGCCTGTTTGTCTCGTTGTTTGCAGAACAAAATCAATCACTCTGTGATCAAGGACCTGCTCGATCCCATTAAGGAGCTCTATGAGGATGTGAGGAGGAAGGCTCTGATGAGGCTCGAGTACGAGGGTCTGCACAAGAGTGAGGCAATAACCACACCAGGGGCACGCTTTCACAATGACCCTGCAGGCTTTGCCATGAACAGATATGCATACTATGTTTGCTACAAGTGCAAGAAGGTACCACCTGGATTAAAGACCTAGTATATTTTAGTGTAACTGTGTTATAAGGATGGAGAATGAATGACGCTTTTCTTTTCCAGGCATATTTTGGGGGAGAGGCTCGCTGCGATGCAGAGGCAGGACAGGGAGACGACTACGACCCCAGTGAACTGATCTGTGGAGCATGCTCAGATGTGTCCAGGGCTCAGGTGGGAAATGTGTCTGCGAGGAGCACTTTAAATGAATAATATGACATCTGTAGAACTAACTCACCTATATGTTGTTCAGTGTCTTTGAAGGCCAAATTATATTACTCGCAATTTTTGCGTTTACAGCAAATTACATGAACTGTTAAGTGAATAATAATAAAGAAAGAAAGCCAAACCTTTCCTTAAAAATGGTGCTCATCTGTCCTTGAAAAGCAAAATATAAGCCCAGCCCTAATATCTTTTGTGTCCTTTCATCAGATGTGCTCCAAGCATGGAACAGACTTCCTTGAGTATAAATGCCGGTACTGCTGCTCTGTGGCTGTTTTCTTCTGCTTTGGCACCACACACTTCTGTAATGCCTGCCATGATGACTTCCAGAGGATGACCAGCGTCCCCAAAGAGGAATTGCCCCATTGCCCTGCAGGTGCTTAACAATTCCTATGTATTTTGTCATAATTCTATACATAAACATGGATGTCATCATGTTATCAGCAATTGGCCACAAATTTGACATTTTGACCATTGCAATCTTAGCTTTTGGAGCCATTTATGCATTAGACTGTGAAGTTTGTGAAGGCACTTGCAAGCTTGCTTATTAAGGTGAAGCATCTGCTTGTTTCAGCATCTGCTTGTTTCAGCATCTGCTTGTCACTCAGAGTATACGTGCCTCCTATTAAGGGATAACTTTAGTATAATTTTAATGAGTGGGTTATGAAAACAAAACAAAAACAGTTCCTGTTCAGATGGCATGAAAGGGGAACTTGGCAACAAAAACCAAAACTGTTTATTGTGGCACACTTCTCCTCTTAACATGCAGGTCTGTGTGGAGTCAACTTCACGTGTTCATTTGAGAAACTGCAGTAGCCACGGCTTGGCTTAATCTTTAACCCTGGAAGTTGCTACTTAATAACAAATGACTGAAACTTGGTCACCTTGGTTACTGTGTACAGAGCCACTGTCTTTGAGGAGTTTAGATCAGTGAGAGTGTCCGTGTCTTACTCTGAATAATGATCGGCTGTAACCTGATCACACTGCTCGAAAGACGCAGCTGACCTTTTGCTGCTCCTGTGTTTGCATCTCCCATTCCATTTGTTGTTGTTGTTGTTGTTGTTGTCTACAGTATCTGCAGTTTTTACAGATACTAAAGAACAAAGGAAGGTTTTGTGACAGGCCTATTTGAGAAACATGATGTTCTTACATCTGTATAACTCTAGGATGACAAAATATTTTCGACATCCTGTCCTGCGCTCCCTGCACCTGCCCAGACTACAGTAGCTTGATCTCTTTTTGTATTTGCCTACCAGGAGGTTTAATGCTAATGTGTAAATGTTGTCCTCTCTGTCACAGGGCCTAAAGGCAAGCAGCTGGAGGGCACTGAATGCCCTTTGCATGTAGTCCACCCACCAACGGGGGAAGAGTTTGCTCTTGGCTGCGGGGTGTGCAGGAACGCCCACACCTTCTAAACAACAAGACTTTTTCTGAAAACCAGTTTGTCTACTGTGATTTCTGGCTGCTGCTGCTGAAGCTCAGCCACCAAGTTTGGCTCTTGCATTGCCAAGACTCCTGGACACTGGACCAGGTTTCTGCTCTACGCCGAGAGTCCTCAGGTCTGCTCTTTCACCACCGTCAGTATCCTTGGATCTGCTGCGACCGCGAGCAGTAACTCGTTTGGGTTCAGAGTGACCTGAATGGGTGAGGGGAGGGAGGGGGACAAAAGAACAATTGAATTAAAAAGAAAAAAAAAAACGAAGAAAAAAAAAAAAATTCTCGTGACGTGTTTGCATGCGGCCGTTGTATTCCCTCGGCTTCTATAGACGTTGCACACCTCCTGATCACTCAAGTGTAACAATACAAGTTTAAACATTGAATATGAATTAATTTGCATATAGACAACTGTGGATCAGCGTGGGTCTGAAAAAAAGTTGAAAAAAAGAAAATATGGAGCAGGCCGTGTTTCCAGCTTCCTAACTATAAATTTAAAATATTGTTGTATGTAAACTTTTTCGTAAACTTGTACAGTATTCTCCGCTGTCAAGTGCATCATGGGTTGACAGAAGAAGAAAAAAAAGGAGTTGGGTTGGTGGATAAGACTGTTAAGAACATTATGTTTGGGAGGAAAATAGTGTACGATTTATCTAATCTTGTATATAATGATACTATTCAAAAATAGCTGTATTCCGAAGTTGCTACTCTTCACTTCAGTTTTGTTTGATATTCTGGGTTATGTTTTGAGCCAGAACTTTTAATGAAGTGCAATACTGGGTGTGCCTCCTATTTTGCAGCTGTTTAACCTATGGAATGTATGTCAATAAAGCCACTGTACATTTTTATACAGTAGACGGTCGTAATTTTCCCCCCTCTTCTAAATGTCACATCTCTTCTGTTGTCTGGAAATGAGAAGATGGATCCTGGCGGCTGCAGTGAACGATGGTGGATGTAAATCCTGGTTGTAATTTAAAAAAAAAAAGAAAAAAAGAAAGGATAAACTTATAGTAGGAAAGGAAAAAACCCTCTCACAGTATGACTGATTACAGCTGGATGATTTGAGGGTGCCAGTCTTCACACCAAATAAAATATTGCACCTGTGATGCTTTTCCCTATTAGGAGGCAGGGGTAATGGGAGGGAGAGGGGAGGTCAGGGGGTGGAGTATGGAAACAAAGCAGCTGCTGTTTAAATTAAAAAAAAAAAAAAAAAAGCTTCATACTTGTGAATCTGCTCTGTAATATCTGTGGTGGATGGAGTCAAATGGTAATAAACCAGGTTCTCTGTTTTCGCAAAGTAAACACCGTGTCATCCGTTAATGAGTGGTCACATTTCTGTATTCACGACTCAGAGGAAAAGCTAAAACATCGGTGCAAATGAAGAGAGGGGAAACTGTAAAAGAATGAGTTATCCTATCATAGATTCAAAATGTTGGGTTTGTCATACTGACTATAATAGTGTGACGGTTGAAAGATTTAGTCTTTGAGCAGCATTAAATAACACATACTTTTTAATGCATTTCAAAAGTTTCCAGACTTGCACCTTAAGTGCTGAATTCACATTAACTAATGAAGCACACTAACTTTTTCTTATTTTATCCTGTTGAAGTTTCTTGGGCACATGTGCAGTAAAAAGGTGCATGCATGTCTGTGCACTGCTGGAAGATGAGTAAGAGACTGGCACCATGCATAGGTTGCAGGTCTGTTGCAGAGCCCCTCTCAGTATGGCGTCCCTGGTGTTTATTGCTGACAGGAGTAGCAGGATGAATTCTGCTGTGTGCTGGGCCATACTCTGACCAGACTGAAACTTTTCTTTGGTCTTCCTCTTTTCCTCCTGTCTGGCAGCTCCATATTCAACCTCCTTTGTCCAATATATCCACTCTCCAAGAAGGAATTGTGGATATATTGCTTCACTACACGTCTCCAGCTGGGCTGTCCCTCTGACATACTCATTTCTAATGAACTGAAAATCTAAGCGTCTCTTTCACTTCAACCTCTCGTCTTTTTGTTAATACCAGCAAGTCCAAACCATCTTGTAAACATTCCCTTTGCAGTTATCCGCCCTGCCTGCCCTCTCTTCTTCACCTCTTTTGTGCACTGGCCATTGCTTTGGATGGTTGGCCACAGGCATTTAAAATCCTCTTCTTGCTAGCTCCACTGTTTCTCCTCTCCCTCTTATTAACACACATGCAATCTGTCGTCTTCTACTAGCTTTCACCCCCTCTTCCCTCGAGAGCATACCTCCACCTCGGCTCTCTTCCACCTGTTCCCTAAACATCAGTCTCTGGTTAACCTATCACCATTGCCAACAAGAAGGGGATCAGAGCAGACCCCTGATTTAATCCCACCTCACCACTTTGTCACTATCATCGTGCACTTTAGATGGATTTTGTTATTTTAGTTGTAGTTTATGTCGACCTCTCTGTCTCTGGAACAGTATTACTGTATTCAAAAACATAATCTTCCCAAACAAGCAGTTTTATATTTTGTTGCTCTCTAGAAATAATCATTGCGTTATGAAGGCTCCCAACAGGAAAACACGCTGTATACGATTTTATTTTATTTTATTAGGATTCGGGTGAGTTATCACTCAAACGGAGACGATCTTTACCAACAGCCATTTTGCATTATGTATCCCATAATGCACCGCTGCTGTCACGACAACATTTCGCCATTTCGGGTTTGGCGGAGAAGGGGGGCGCTCTGTAACTCCCGCGAAGGAATTAGGTCAGCCGAGCGGAGGTGTGTGTGTTTCTTCATTGAAAACATTTCTCGTTCGTTCTCGTTTTCCCGACGGCTCTCTTATCGTGCTCCGATGCGTGTTACCTGGCTGCTGCGGATGAACTTTACCAGCGTCGGCCCGGGGTGAAGAGTCGAGTCAGTTGTCGGATTTTCTAGCTAACAGCTAGCAAGCTAGCTGTGTGTAAACAACAAGGTAAGAGCCACTGTAGTCACTAGTAAATAAATAATGAATGTTAATAGAACTTGGTATGAATGACCAGTGAGTACAGTGGGGTTTGGTATATTTGCAGCGAATCAAGTGAATTTGCAGCACCAGTTAGCTAAGTCGCTCTGTTAGCTTGTTACACACTTTTACGTTAATAAATAAGCAATCGTTAACTTGGTTAGCGGTTGCGTTTACTCCCCTGTTAGCTTGCTAACTTTACGAGCCACTTTATTGCATTTGTGTGCGTTCATTGTAACTATAGCACTGACAAGCCCAATAACGTTTGTTTGTTTTTCCCCAAGTCAGGTTGTGTGGCTGTGTTTGTAACGTCACCTCAGTCACGTTTCCTCTGAAATACGCAGTGTCACATGCGGTGCAACTTTAGTGTGAGCGTTAACGAGTGGTACAAATCCAACAGTTAAAGGCTTTAATTGTTTTACTTTGGAAAAATGATGATTATTCAGAGAAACACAAACATGAGGGGATGAAAACAGACTGAGATTTTTAAAAAAGCTGGAATGTCTGCAGACCTACAATCTGCACAATATGATAGCTGCTAGGAATGTTTTAATTATTTTGCAGAGTGCGTCAGAGTGATAAACATGCACATTTAATCTGCACCTGTTAGTGCAGGGACAGCAGGGCTGCAGCTAGAGCTTATTGATTCGTGACGTCCTTGATTAGAAGCCTTTCAGAAAATGGACACACGTTTCTAAAGTAATGTGCATGTGTAGATTTATTAATCGGTGCATTTTTTTTTTTTTGTAAAAGATGAAACGGATGAAAGGAGGAGACGAGAGAAGCGATGACTCCTCCTGTGAGAGTCCAGCGGAGGTTTGCAAGAAGGTGCGAAATCAGTTGAGCGAGGATTCGGAGCCAGATGTGGCTGAGTCGCTGGACTGTAACTGGGCACGGCTGCCTCAGGAGCTCCTGCTGCATATCTTCCAGTACCTGCCACTGCTGGACCGGGCTTATGCCTCCCAGGTGTGCCGTGGGTGGAACCAAGCCTTCCACATGCCTGAGCTGTGGAGATGCTTTGAGTTTGAGCTCAACCAGCCAGCCAGCTCTTACCTAAAAGCCACACATCCAGATCTTATTAAGCAGATCATAAAGAGGCACTCCAATCACCTGCAGTATGTCAGCTTCAAGGTAAAAATGTCTGTGTAAACGTGTGTCCTCATTCTGGGTTCAAACGTTCATAAGCAGCTTCTGTTTTAAAATGTTTCTTTGATATTTTTTTTTTTTTAGTGATATGCAATCTTTTCCTTGTTCTTATCAGGTTGACAGTAGTATGGAGTCTGCAGAGGCGGCTTGTGACATTCTTTCACAGTTGGTGAACTGCTCACTGAAGACCTTGGGCCTCATCTCTACAGCCAGGCCCAGTTTCATGGAGGTTCCAAAGGTATAATTAACACAATCATGAGGAGTCTGGGTCTTTACAGTGTCCTGCGCTTTAGATTTGTAAGCAAAATCAAATGAATTCTTGTTTTAGTGTACATTTCCTCTTATCCATAGTCTCATCTTATCTGAGATTGGGTCTCAAAAGCAGCATTCTAATAATAATAGTAATAATAATAATAATAATAATAATAATTCTTATGCATGGAAAATGACACTTTTATTATCAGTCCCACATTTTCAAAAGGACACAGGACTTTCTTTATTTACATATCATGAGCTCTATTCCTTGAACCAGTTACATTCAGGTTTCATGGAATCTAGATGTCATTGAGCAAACTAGCCTAAGGGCGGGACCTTTCTTTTTTTGGTGCGTTTGTTTTATCAAGGATTGGAACCTGCTGCACGTTCTGCTATCTGTAGAAACTGACACACACACTGTCATCACAGTTCACGTTTTAAAACCTTTGAGCTCCTGAGCCAGTTTTTAACAATCTTAGTTGAATTCTTTTGAATATTTCAAAATCAGGTTTAAGAACTTTTAGGTTAATTAAAGTAGAAAAAAAATCACTTGTTTATGAACTCTTGAATGTCACAAAGATCTCAAAAGCTGTTTAAGAACCTGTGATGATGTCATAGAACTTGAAACGTGCAAACAGCCTCACTCATTCACCAGGGTGTGCTCTTTTTAGCTTCTGTTTTAAAGACAGCTTAAGCCTCTCACAGCCTGTGCTGCTTTTTGTGTGACTGTGGAAAAATATTAGAGGACGTGTTGTTCTTCGATTTTCTCACAATGCGGTGCTGGTTGCCAAGTTGCGAAAACACCTTTTGGCATAATAAAATCTTCTGAACTTCTCAAAAGAAAGTTCTCAAATTGCCATTATTACTCGCATTCTGTCAGAGGGGACATTTGATTGAAGGATTTAAACCAAAAGAAAGCTGAATGCAAAAAAACAAAGACTTGTTTTTTCCACATTTTGGAAAATAATAAGATATCACATCATTTTCATCATAAATACTTTTTTGCTAATATAATATGTACCATAAAGTCAAATAGACACCCTTCCAATGCTTTGCACAAAAAGATTTCCTTGTTTTCTTTTTGTCATTTTGTTGTATGGATTTTTGCTGTCTGCAGCACCAAAGCTTAAGATTAATTCAAACAGAGAGGTCCACCCATGCAGTAGACACAAATGAACACACCCTTGCATTTCTTTATTTCAAATTTATTTACCTTGTCTATAGATTAAATCTACAAATTAAATTTGTATGTAATCTTAACCCACTAATTGTGATTAGATTATGGTTTCTTACTGTACTCAGATTGCAGATTGTGTTTGTATTGTTATATGTAGCAGATTCCTAAGTTTAAGGTTGTCTCAGTAATTACAAATAGTGGTGTGTGAGCCATGACAGAGGCCTGCCTGACGTACCAGGCCCACCAAAAAACTGTATGTTAGTGGGACAGATTATGTTTGGGTAAAAGATCATTCCAGACACAGTTGATTAAATCTGGCATTTCGAAGGCATCAGTCAGGTTTAAAGATAGTTACAATTCAATGTGTCATGTTTGTCCTTCCACAGTCTCACTTCATCTCCGCCCTGACCGTGGTGTTTGTCAACTCCAAATCGTTGTCTTCGCTGAAGATTGACGACACGCCAGTTGATGATCCATCTCTGAAGGTGCTGGTGGCCAACAATAGCGACACCCTGAAACTTCTGAAAATGAGCAGCTGCCCTCACGTCTCTCCTGCAGGTACAGTCTAAGTGCATGTGTTTTATTTATTTTCTACTTCCAGCATGAATGGAAAATGAGTATGGTGCTGTGCAAAAGTCTTGAGCCACCACTCATTGCTTTGTTTTGCTTAAAAAAAGAAAGACAGAATTTGGGTGTCATTGGAACAAAAAGTGGCCATTATCAGTAGTTCGTCAGACCTTCTGAAGGTCTTTTCAAAGTTTTGCTTCAGACATTGGCTGCTTTACAGTCCTTGTACTGGAACATTTTCCAAGTAATGTTTTTGTTTATAACATTGACCTGTGAATCATCTCAAGCATAAAAAGGCGCCTAACTCAAAGGATGACTATATCTTGTGTACATAAAATGCCTGGTTAGAAAAACACATCAATCATTGATTGGCCTTCTCAGCTGTTGAAACACTCATCTTTACATAGTGTTCTGTTCTGTTGAGATGATCCCACAGCATTAAAGGCAGCCGACATCCAAAGATAACAATTAGCATGTCCTTCAAGAATCCTGGTGAACTATTGCTGAAGGCTACTCCAGGAAAGTTTGCATAACAGAGTTCAGGCTTTGTTGAAGAATAAAAGTGATCATACCAAAGGTGATCACCTTTGTTGTTGCACAGACTCTGTATTTGCCTTATGCATAGCGTTTCCATTCATGCTTCAATGTTTGAATAAACTGCTGCACATATTTTACATTTTTGAGGAACGTATAAAAAAACGAGAGGTGGCTCAAGACTTGTATACTTCACGCTGCGTTGATTGAAATTCGCAAAATCACACAGAACTTTATTCAGAGAGATAAATTGTTTAGGTTTTGACATAACTGATGAGTTGATAGCTGAACTTTATTTCTTTATTTAAAAAAAACAGAAGATTTAAAACTATGTCTGTAAAACTGGTAGTAACCTCAATGACTCAGTACATTTAGACCATCCTTCAATTTGTAGGTCTGATGAGGGACCATCTGAGATTATGAGAGAAATCCTCATTTCCTGAAATTCTGAGCTAATATGATTGCTGATTAAACTGCAACTTGTCAGGAGGATGCAGTCAACCTGTTTTTTGATTGAAAGTGAAAACACGATTTGAGAATTGGTCGCATTAATTGAAACGATCTGCCTGTGCTTTTAGGAATCCTGTGTGTGGCAGACCAGTGTCACGGGCTCCGAGAGCTAGCGCTAAACTACCACCTCCTGAGTGATGAACTCCTGCTGGCGCTCTCCTCTGAGAAGCACGTCCACCTGGAACACTTGCGAATTGATGTGGTGAGCGAAAACCCCGGGCAGCACTTCCACACCATCAAGAAGAGCAGCTGGGACGCTATGATGCGGCACTCGCCCAAATTTAACCTGGTCATGTACTTCTTCCTCTATGAGGATGAGTTCGGCCCCTTCTTTAATGAGGAAATCCCGGTCACACACCTTTACTTCGGGCGCTCAGTGAGCAAAGAGGTCCTGGGCCGAGTGGGCCTCCACTGTCCTCGTTTGGTGGAGCTGGTCGTGTGCGCCAACGGCCTGCGTCCTCTGGATGAGGAGCTGATCCGTATCGCCAAACACTGCACCCAGCTGTCAGCCATCGGCCTGGGTGAGTGCGAAGTGTCCTGCAGCGCGTTTGTGGAGTTCGTCAAAATGTGCGGCCGCCGACTGTCCCAGCTGTCCATCATGGAGGAGGTACTGATTCCAGATCATAAATACTCCCTGGATGAGATTCACTGGGAGGTGTCGAAGCACCTGGGCCGGGTCTGGTTCCCAGACATGATGCCGACCTGGTAGAGAGTGAAGCCTGTGCTCAGAGTTCAATATGTCGGGTTTGTGGTGCGGAACAATCATTGCCTCCATGTTGCGTTGAAAAGCCTCAGCTGGGAAGCTCGATGACAGCATGGCGAGCACGAACTTGCTGAACTCTCGTTAGCAGGGCAGGGATGTAATGTGGCACTCGACAACAACACAATGTTATCACATTATCATGGAAATGCCACAGAATTCCTGCTCGGCTTAATCCGTAGATGGAATTCAGCAAGCTGGCGTCGACCCACAGAAGAGGAAATTTAACTAAAAGGCAATGTTTTTATAACTGCAAATGGAGTTATATGTACATTATAGGCTGGGTATGATACTCTGTGTTGTGAGAGGGGTGTGTGAGTATGTGCATTTATGTGTGAACGTGCGGGTGGGTGTTTACATGTTTTCCAACATTGAGCAGTAAATTGGGACAATTAGGTGCACAATTGCATGTTGTTACGCTACCACTTGGCCTACATAAATCCAGTGTGAGATAGCAGCTCTGCACTCTGTAATACAATATGGCATTGACCGCATAGTTGTATTTGTCATGAGTGGCTGAATTTTGCAGAAGAGTAGCTGGGTCCTACACCTCATTTTAACCTAATTTAAAGAACAGTGGTTGTGTTGTTTGTCCTCCTCGCCTGGGGAGCTCCAGTCGTGTCTCACAAAACACGATTGTTGAACAAATGGAAGATGGCAGAGAGAAAAAGAAATGTGTATATAGGTGTCTAAATTGTGACGTGAAGGTGTACAGTGTTGATTGATGTCATTGATTTTTATTTTTATTTTTTCTCAAAGTTATATTTTGAGGAGTGTTTTTTTTTTTTTCTCTCTCTCTCCCTGCATCAAACACAAATTGGCCTGACAAATGATTTTATCTATTTTGGAAAAAGGTTTATGTACAGTTTTAGATTTCTTAAGCACCTTAGATGAATACCAAATGATAGATGGAATACACCTGGTCCTTGGGACCAAATATGGTGATTATTTATACTGTACTGGGGCTTTGTTGAGTCAAATCCCCAAGTGCTACATATTGACGTTGTAAAGCTCTAATTACAACAATCAAATAATTCTATGTAAATAGTGCACAGAAATGTCTGAATTTGGAGGGTAGAGATCAGCGGTCTCAGTTCTTCACGCTCAGATTAATTTGTAATGATTCAGTAGACTAGTCTGTATGGCTGTTGGCTTACAGTGCATGCTGGAAATGCAAATCCAACCCATTTGTGTTTCTCAGATGCATTAAAATGAAAATATTTTTTATGTAGGTTTCATTTGTATCTTCTGCTATTTGCCTGTTCAAGCCCTTCCAAATAGTCCACATTTGTTTCCTCCTCATGCTATCTTGTGTACATGAGAGGAAGCAGTATTCACCCATTATAAACACTGTCTGCAGATTTTTCTTGTGTTCCAAACATCCATTCATTTCAGTCGAAAGAGGTTTGGCAAGTCAGATGAGTGAAACAGTTTTGTTTTTTTCCTTTAAGAAGGAAGTCAAATGCATCTGTATATTAAAACGCTGTGTGTTTGATTATTATGAGTAGAAATGTATTTCTTTATTTCACCCTCTGTCAGGGTTTGAAGTTTCCTTAACCGATGGCTTGTCTTTTATAAAACCAGAGTGCAAGTTATCCTTTACTAGATGGATCTTTTTCATACTATATCCACTAGAAAAGTTAAAAACTGTGTAAATGATTAATAGGGATTATGCTTTTTTTAATGAATTTCAGTTTTTCAGTTAAACAAAAGCAACCAGCAGTGGTATTTTTCTTTGTTTACCTGGGTTTAGCTTCCACCTATTGTCGCCGTGGTTTTGTTGGATACAGGTGGTCCTAATGTTTTGAGTCCACTACCACAAACTCTCGATCCTTGGAGGGATTTTAT